ACACGTGATACAACCAAATCTGTTGATATCTGTCTGGTACTGGTAGATGAGTCTTCATCTAGAGATTCCAAAATTTTGTCTTCCGAATGAACTGTGCGAACAGGTCTTTCTCTTGCTCGACGTTTTGGTAGCGACAAACATGCACCTCGACGGTGAACGCTTGAAAAAGTATTCCTTGTTGGACAACGTCGATTTGGAAAAGTCTGTCTATAAAGTCGTTCAGCTTGTCTAGCATTGCCATTCGCTCTATCGTATGTAAAATATATATCTGCTAATTCAATATTTGTATAACGGACCATAACTAGCAGATAAACGCGACAAAAATGTTTCAAAATTATGACTATTTCCTAGCAACAACTTGCCACTTACTGGTATTTTACAGTTGAAATGAATTGAATACCATATTTTTTTTTTTTATTAAAATCTGTTTCTAGCTGTATGAAAAATAACAAACTTTTTGCAACACACAAAACAGTGGCGTTGTATAGTGTTTTGAAATCTCTCAGAAATATTAGGCATTGAATTTATTGTTATACATTTAGCGATCAATAGAAAATGATAAATAGCAACTTAAGTATCTTATTTGATTTCCCAATTATCTAAAGACCAGTAAATTTTACGAATACTTTACAAGTATACTTTATTGCCACAAATTGATTGTACATTTTAAAAACATTTAAAATTATTGAAAAAACCAGTGGCGTCCGATTTTTTTTTTTTTCAAAAAAGGTCCCTTACTCCCCCAATATCTACTCCATTGGAGTGTATTTTGCAATAAGTTATCCACAAAAAAATAGTCCCTACTAAAAAATATCATTCCTTAAATTTTATCACTAGTGCTTGAATTATTTCCGGAAATTTTTCCGAACGAACGCATTTTTTTTAAATTTTCTGAAAAAATGCCTGATTGAAGAAAAATTTCCGGACATTAATTCAAGGACGTGGGGAATTCGGTAAGAAAATGTTACACCCAAAATTTATTTTAAAAATTTGACATGTTTCATTTTAAAACTTATTTCGCCAAAATAAAGTTGACAGGTAGACATTGTTTTGTGAGTATGACATATTTTTATCTTCTTAAACGACACATAATTTAATCGCGTTTCACGCGTTTTTTTAAATTCAAAAATGGCTCATTTTGGAAATGAAAATTACGAAAACATAAAAACAACACGGTCCTTTCACTTTAGTAATAAATGAGACAATGGTCGGTCGATAGCCGCACGGTTTAAGGCGTCAGTCCTTTAATCGTGTGCAAAATTTCTGCCCGGGTTCGATTCCCGCGGCCGGTAGACCGTAGATTAGCTATGCTTGTACGGAGGATTGGCACCCTCTNGAAATCTCTCAGAAATATTAGGCATTGAATTTAATGTTACACATTTAGCAATCAATAGAAAATGATAAATAGCAACGTAGGTACTCAAGTATCTTCTTATTTGATTTCCCAATTATCTAAAGACCAGTAAATTTTACGAATACTTTACAAGAATACTTTATTGCCACAAATTGATCGTACATTTTAAAAACATTTATATTATTTAAAAAACCAGTGGCGTCCGATTTTTTTTTTTTTTTCAAAAAAGGTCCCTTACTCCTCCAACATCTACGCCATTGGAGTGTACTTTGCAATAAGTTATCCACGAAAAAATAGTCCCTACTAAAAAAATGTCATTCCTTAAATTTTATCACTTATAATTTCCCTAGTGCTTGAATTATATCCGGAAATTTTTCCGAATGAACGCATTTTTTTTTTAAATTTTCTGGAAAAATGCGTGATTGAAGAAAAATTTCCGGACAAGGACGTGGGGGATTCGGTAAGAAAATTTTACAACCAAAATTTATTTTAAAAATTTGACATGTTTCATTTTGAAACTTATTTCGCCAAAATAAAGTTGGCTTGACAGGTAGACATTGTTTTGTGGTGCATGACATATTTTTTTCTTCTTAAACGACACATAATTTGATCGCATTTCACGCGTTTTTTTAAATTCAAAAATGGCTCGTTTTGGAAATGAAAATTACGAAAACATAAAAACAACACGTTCCTTTCACTTTACTAATAAATGAGACATTTAATTTTTGAATTTAAATATTTATCTTTGCAATACAATTCACTTAGTATTACTAAAATAGATGGAAAGTAAGTTTTTGTAGAAAAGTGATGTCTATGGCAGTTTATCAAAGATTCTTATTAAAACATAAAGAATACATTCCTTTCACTTTAGTTACAAAATAGGCATTTAATTTTTGAATTTAAATATTTATCTTTGCAACACAATTCACTTGGTATTACTAAAATAGAAGGAAAGTAAGTTTTTGTAGAAAACTGATGTCTATGGCAGTTTATCAGAGATTCTTATTAAAACATAAAAAAATACATTCCTTTCACTTTAGTAACAAAATAGGCATTTAATTTTTGAATTTAAATATTTATCTTTGCAATACAATTCACTTAGTATTACTAAAATAGAAGGAAAGTAAGTTTTTGTAGAAAAGCGATGCCTATGGCAGTTTATCAAAGATTCTTATTAAAACATAAAAAAAATACATTCCTTTCACTTTAGTAACAAAATAGGCATTTAATTTTTGAATTTAAATATTTATCTTTGCAACACAATTCACTTAGTATTACTAAAATAGGAGGAAAGTAAGTTTTTGTAGAAAACTGATGTCTATGGCAGTTTATCAATGATTCTTATTAAAACATAAAAAAACACATTCCTTGCACTTTAGTAATAAAAAAGGCTTTTAATTTTTAAATTCAAATATTTATCTTTGCAGTACAATTCACTTAGTATTACTAAAATAGAAGAAAGTAAGTTTTTGTAGAAATGCGATGTCTATGACAGTTTATTAATGATCCTTATTAAACATAAAAAACAGCACATTACATTCACTTTAGTAATAAAAAAGGCATTTTAATTTTTTAATTCAGATATTTATGTTTGCAGTATAATTCACTCAGTATTACTAAAATAGAAGGAAAGTAAGTTTTTGTGGAAAACCGATGTCTATGGCAATATATCAATGATTCTTAAAAAATCATAACTGATGCAATCAAGTAGGCTTAGGCTTGTGATGTCAAAATCGTCTTCGCTATAGGTCACGTTGACAGTAATTTTTTCTAACTTCTAATTGTTTAGAATTAAATCATATCAGTGAACAACCAAAAAACTAATTTAAAACCTTATAGTATATGTAATTCTTGCACCAAAATAGGGGACATTTTTATGTCTCATAAAAATTTAAAATATTTGCCATATTTACTGAAAAAAACTGGAATCAGTCCGCATCAAGAAAACCTTTTCGCAGCTATTCAAAAGATTTTGGAGGAAGATATCCCATCTTTTTTACGTAAAACCAGGGCTCAGCAGAACAAAATTTCAGCAAATTATTACATATATTTTATGAAACACAGATCTGATGGAAATGAAAAATAAAGGTAATAATTATGCCCCTCGTTACTCTCCGTTGCGAAGAGAAGGGTTCCAGCCAGAATTTCAAAAACATTTAGCGTTAATAGAAGAAATCTCGGAACAAATATTTGGTAAATAATTATCTGTATCTATTTATTATTTTAAAATAAATAAAAACATTACAAAGCAAAATTCTGGATAGGGACTGATTTTTTAACCATATGATAGCTGTCAAAAAAAAATTCCACTTATTAATTTTGTTTGTCTAGAAGGAAAAAAATTTTCGAAAAATTTGAAGGTTGCCATGTAATTGGCTTAAAATGACAGGTGTAATTTTCACTAAATATTTTTTGCTAGTGAAGTAACAGGAAAAGTCATATAAATATATGAAACCACCTTGTATCTCCGTAGGGAAGCGTCCTATCTAAAATTTTTATAGGGCACAAGTTGATTATTTTCGTCGGTAGAACACGTCTATAAAGTTTGGCAAAACTTATCATTAACACCCTGTATATAAATAATAATTCCACGAAAAATAAGTCAGATTCAGATAAACGTCCCAATTTTTATATATATTGTTTGAATAAAATTACATAAAAGAAAATCCGGCCTACAGCCAACTCCGTACCACTTTGCAGCCGCCCTAACATTTCCGATCTCTAGTTAATTACTTATCTACATTTTTCTGGCAATAATTGTTAGATAATACGTTAATTTATCTCAAAACTAAAGCAGTCAAATTAAATAATTTCGTGTAATAACTAGAGAGCGGACAATGTGTGTCTTTAACCCGAAGAATAGGTCAAATTTTGATAGAGATGTGTACGCGTTCAAAAATGTAATGTGTATAAACTATGCAAAATATAATTATTATGTATAGCAAATATATCGTATTATCCTCGCGAAGATTTGTACCCTTTATTTAAAATCCATAAATCATGTGAACAGGTTAAATAACGAGAAAATAATTAAGTTAATTTAGTTCTAAAGAAATGAAATGACACTCGCGCCCATCTCTAGTCTATCCGTCGACATCGGTTGCGTTTATCGAATTCCTATTGGTCAGAATTCAAACTGCAGCCCTGTTATGAATGGAGCGTGAGTTGGACTATTCTATCATGTGCGTCGCCTGAGGCTATTCGTTACATTGACTCCTAACTTCCAATTAAAAGAACGACACTATTTTTAACCGAACTTTATTTAATAAATATGTAGTATACAATTTCTGATTTTCTAAATATTTTATAACGCCTAAAAATGTATGTACCGTGGAATTTTCGTGAATTATCACGTAAATTTCCGATGCATACCCGATACGCCACTGCGTCATGGATAATGTATCTAGGTTTATGAATGACATATCTATGTTCAAGGTTAAAGACACAAATTGTCCGCTCTCTGGTAATAACTTACACATACACGCACATTTTCGGCTGAATCATCAGTCCTTTACGTCGCAGACTAAATTCTCCCAACGTTCTGGTGTAACGCAGACAAACGAGCGAAATATTCCCTTTTTGTCGGCATCCGCTGCATCAGTCATCTTTATTATCCTTTTTCTGAAATATAACCTTTTTGTTTCAGAGGGGGCGCCGGCTTCGTTTTAATAGCAGAAGTAACGTGGGTAGCGACGCTCTTCCTGCAGATCTGTGTAAGGTAAGAATAGAGCAAATAAAAGTAAAAGATAGGGCGACATCAAACGTTTTTACTCACTGTCACTTTAACAAACGTCCTGGTTTGCAGCCGGAGAAAAATTGGAAAAGCAATCAGGAGGGATATATAAAGTGATAAAACATCCCCTTTATAACATTGCCGAATAGGTGGCCCACGGACCAATCTGAAATTAAACCTTTTTCAATATAATTTATTGTCTCGCTCCTTAATTTATCTCTCGGTCCGAGGTCGTCCAGTCGCCCCGGAAAGATTGGGATAATTTGTGAATTTCAATTACGTAGGAACTTAAAGGGAACTCTTTCTTTATTCAATTATGAAGCAGAAATTGAAGGGTAGTCTATTACTAGCTACAAATAATTGCGTTTTTTCAAGTATGATAAACGTGAGTTCAGGTTTTTAACAAAAAAAATCTTAAGTTCCTTACAAAATATGAACATGAAAAAAATTATTAGTAGACATTTTATGGCACTTTATGGCGAGGAAGAGTATGTAGAATGATAATATCAAAAAAGTAACTCGAAAGTAATTAAAAAAAAGAGAAATCACCTACGCTTCTTTTTATACAGGGTGCCCCGTTCATGTTTCAAAAAAACTTGTGTGCAAGTTCCTCATGGGAAAATAGTAGGGGTAGTTCGTGTAAAGTTTTTTTTCTTAGACGCCCTGTTTTTGAAATACAGTGTGTTGTGTACTTTCCAAATGGTTTTCCATAATTCTCTTTAAATCGACTAAAGATAAAAATGTCAAAATTTGTACACGAGTAAACATCAACTGTGCGTTAAGAATAATGTGCAAACGGTTTCTTTCTGAAAAGCAGTGTCGCCGATACAGGTAATTGAAGGGGTGCAATAGAAAAAAAATAAGTCAAAGACAAAATGTATTTAATTTCTAAACCGTTCTGTAAACTCTAAAGGATACTACTTGTCGAAATTCGGTAGCATGTACCATTTTCGAGAAAAATGTAGTTGCATTTTATTTTATCACATAAAGCCGGCATAAGTACATTAACAAAATATTAAATTGAAAGGGGATATTACCATTGAATAAGCTGAAGACATTTAGCTACCAACAGTATTTGCATTTAAGGTTATGATTTTAATTTCTTACGTATCACATGAAACGGTTAAATTGTAAAACATTTTATTAACTAAAAAAAATGTAAGTTTCAGTTTGTTGTAAACTAACATTTAAAAAGGTAAATCAAAATAAACAGATTATGGTAATTAATCATCTATTATTAACTAATTTTGGATTTTGTAAACTACTACACTACCATTACTAAAATAAAAAATTGTTGAATGGACTGAATTGTTGATGGACATGAATGCTTAAAAAAAGTAATAAAAACTGAAAAATATTAGGAAACAGACTCGGAGACATACAGAACAAAACAGCTGCACAATTAAATAAATGTGCAAACTCGAAATACTACAGTAGATACTGGAATTGTCCCCCATTTCCTTCTATGCAACTTCAATTTTTTCGAAAATGGTACATGCTACCGAATTTCGACAAGTTTTTTTGTAGTATGCTTTAGAGTTTACAGAACCGTTTAGAAATGTAACAAATTTTGACTTTTAACATATTTTTTTGTTCGATTGTACCCCTCTTATTATCTGTATCGGTGACTCTGCTTTTCAGGAAAAAACTGTTTGCAAATTATTCTTAACGCACAGTTGATGTTTACTCGTGTACAAATTTTGACATTTTTATCTTTAGCCCATTTAAAGATAATTAAGGACAACCATTTGGAAAGTAACACACTGTATCTCGAAAACAGGGTGTCTAAGAAAAAAACGTTACATAAACTACCCCTATTATTTTTCCATGAGGAACTTGCACATAAGTTTTTTGAAACATGAAACGGACACCCTGTATAACGGGATATTAGACAATTCAAGATAGGGTTAAACTTTTATTTTCAGAAAGTTTTACATTGATAGTTCATGTAATAAGCGCGTGAACCGAATTTGAAACGTTCAAGAACGTTATAGGTAGAAACAGGTACATTGAATTATTTTTTTTAATAAATATTTTTAATAAAACCTTTTTATTATTTTATTTTATATTTTTTTCTAATTCCGACAGATAAAAATTTAAATTTTTTAATTTAAAATTCCAGAGCTAAATTTTTAAAATATGGAAATGTATTACTTTTTAACATATAATTTTATATTTTTAAATTCTTTTGTCAACAAATATTTATACTAATTTATTACAATTGTTTTTAAAAAAAAAATAAGTAGTGCATTACCTAATTTTCAAAATTAAAATTTAAAAAAATAAAATATTTTATTAAACATTTCCAATCTAATATTTTCTTAGCTTAAGAGAATGTTTGTACTTTTTCGAATTTCTAGAGCGGGACAGCTGCCCCCCCTTGGCGACGCCCTTGATGTTTGACACTAGTGATGTAACGAATATCCGCATTCGCATTCGCATTCGCATTCGCGAATATTCGTTTGATTTATGATATTCGCATTCGCAAATATCTTTGAATATTTTGCGAATATGAACGTGAAAGAGAAATACAGAATGTGAAAACAATATTAGGTAAATTAAACAAAAAAGTTAAGAAATAACTAACAACAGTCTAACCTCACAATTCACAAACTCATCTGAGCCGGTAGCGAAAACAAAACAAAATTCCAATCATACAAAAATACCGTTCTACCAACTTAACGCTAATTTCTTTAGCCTATAGCGCCGCTGTCACCGAAAATATGTGCGTCGCGCGCGGCATATTTTGAATCATAGATAAACGACGCTAGATTTAAAAACTGAATATTCCTATTCGCATTCGCGAATGTCAACAACAGATGTTCGCATTCGCATACGCATTCGCGAATTCTTAAAAACTGGCATTCGTTACATCACTATTTGGCACACATGTTGGTCATTGGATCAGACTAATAATTAGTTAATTTGTTTATAAGGCCATAACTTGTAAACTATTCAACTTACCGATTCCAGATTTCGTGTGAGTTATTAGACAGTGATAAGGAATGAGAGGATGCGATGTCAAAACGTTCTGGTAATAATAACGCTGTTTATAAATGTTTAATTCAGAAGTCATAAATAAACTTCTTCTGTTTATAACTTTTGATCTAATCAATATTATTTGACGCTCGAGGGCTAGTTTTGTAGGTATTTTGAAGACGAAAAAAAGTACTTTACTGTTTTCTCGTGGCAATGAACGGAAAAAAGTTAAGTAAGCGAGAAACGTGAATTTACGTAACAATTATACAATTAACCACCCTGTAAACAATCATCCCTCCATTTTTATGACTGTGGAAACTAATGTTATTGTACATAATATTTAGCATCTATAGCGATAAATTCAGCTTGACGAAACAAAAAGTCGCGTCCAACTCTATATTTCCTAGCATATACAACGTAATAACTGAGAATAAGACTATTCGAAGGTAATATAAAATTTTCTGAATATATTTCAACGTATTTTGCTTAATAACGGGGAATTTGCATTAAAAAATGTGCACCATTTTGACACGGAATATTATTCTACAATAAAAAAAACGTAAATTACATAATTTCGCTTAAAAATTCTTAAATAATTTTTTTGACTAGACCATGGACCTTATCATTACATAAAAATTCTTATTTAGGTAACTCGTACTAGAAAACAATTAAATAGAAAGACAGTGAGATTTTAGTTAAACTTCCTATAACCAGATGGCGCATTTGAGGCATGTAGGTACAAGGCAAATTTTCACAGTATTTCTGTTAATATTTGAAAAGGTAGCAAACACCCCATTTAAATCTCTTTCTGTTCAATACCTTCAAAAACGTTCATTCCGAATCACTAATATGCCTAAAATACTTCAACGCTAAGTGATTAAACTACTCGTAGCTCTCTCCCGTCATTCCTTGGAACAGGCATGTGCAAAAATTAGAGAAATATCGTTAAAACCGTCCCGCAGAGAAATTGAGGCCGGAGAAGCAGTTGCCAGAACAGCGACGACGAGGGGAATCCTGGAATTCCCATTTTGCAAGAGAAAAATGTTCCTTGTAATGACTTGATGTTGGAACTACCCCCACTTGACGGGCAAGACGTCGACGTTGCGGCGCGAATACAAATGAGGGCCTGTTCATTTGAAACGGCGGTTATGCAAGGAGAACTAGATTGCTTAGGAGAAAGTTAAATTTCGTCTGCGTCCACCTGATGTTTGTATCACGCTCTTTCCAACGAAGTTGCCGAAACGTTGCTGTCAATTCTGATACGCCAATTTAATTAAAAGCGAAAACAGTCCATATACTTTTACAAAAATCAATATGGACTGCTGAAATTCAAACAATTCAACAACAACATTCAACTTAATTTAGTTTAACCGAGCAGTAGTTCTTGAGAGTATTATTCTTTGCATTCGAATTTTAACACCGCAATTTTTTCATGTATGTCTCTTGACAACGCTGATAGTAAAACTACCTACTAATTAGTAAAAGAAACAATCATTTTTTTCATTAATTTCTCTTAGCAGTACTGGACAGTAAACGATAATAAACTGGTTATTAACAGTAATCATTTTTTTTGTAAATGATATTAAACTTTAAACCGATTTGTTGTATTTTCACTTTTTGCTTATTTCTCGTAACAATACTAGAGAGTAAAGAATATTAAACTGTTTATTAATCATGAAAAATATATGTCGTATCCCTATTTTTTCACGTATTTTGTCTAGATCGTAAAATAAAATATAAACCGATGTGTCATATCTTCATTGTTATTATTAGCATTATTGTTTCTCTTAACAATACCGGATAGTAAATGCAATAAAATCATTTATTAACCAGTAAAAAGAAAACGCATATTCATTTAACCTAATTATTACCCAACCAGTGTCGAGGATTATAAAGGTCGTTTGAAACTTCAATTTCAGTTGTTGCGAGTGAACCGGAAAAACTAATGAATTTATGTCCATCATAGCAGACAAGTGCGGTAAAATATTTGCCGAGATTCGCAAAAC